AATTCAATTTAAAGTCTTTAAATGTTATTTTATCTTAAAAGAAGATGTCTGTCAAGTAAATGCTTGCCAAAATAAACAACATTCCTTGTAATTAAACAATTGCAAAACACAATAATCCCTAGTATGATTTGAAATCATTTGTAGTACATCATTAGATAACAATGAAGCACTAAATAATTGTTCCTATTCCGTTTCGTGAAACTTATAACTGAAAACTGGAATGACTGTAAAACATTTATGTGGAAGAAACTTCACTGATTGGAATCATGAGTCAATTGAAGCCAGACAACCATGGAAAACCTGGAAGCACTGGACGGTCGTTTCGTCCTAGTATGGGACTACTCAGCAGTGCGCAACCACGATCCCGCACCCCGCGAGATTCAAACACAGGACCTATCAGTCTCGCGCCAGGCACTTAAGCAACTAGACCACTGAGCCGGCACCCAACGGTGTTAATGTCTGACTTCAACCAATACACGAAGTTGTGCCACCGTACACCATTGTCTTCAGTGAGTTGATAGTTCACAACAGACCTGGTTGAACTCCACTGGTAATGGATTCTCACTAAAACTCCAGGAGTATCTCTTGAAGTCAGTCACTAGTAAAATTAATAGTGAAACTATAATTTATGGATGATCAATGCCAAATGACTTTGGGATGTCTACCTACTTACTAAAGTTGAAAGAGAGTTATAGACTAATGTGGGGAATTAGAAATAGGATTTACAGTTGAACGTTAGATTTAGGAATTAGAGTTAGAGCATTCATCACCGAAATGACATCACCTATAATGTCAAAATGATATTTGTTCAAGTGAGTGAATGAATTACGCGCCAAAATTCATGACCTTTTATCTTAAATCTGATTGGTTCGTTCAAATTCAGGTAACAAAATAGATCAGAATATCAATAATTTTTGTTTGTTGAAATAGGAAAAAAGATTTTATTTATTTGGAAATATTGTGATCTGAATTTAGAATAAAAATAAATAGACTTTTCTTTGTTAATCAATCACCTTGATAACCGTTATAATATAAATCTCAACGGTGATTGAAATCAGAAGGCAATAAAACGAGGCAACTATAGTTTATTAGCGGATAGTACAATTCACAAAACTACAAGCATATCAAGCGAATTTGAAGCAGAGAGGCGAATGTATGTGTGTGTGAGCAAATACAGAGTCAAATTTATAGCCAAATCTCATAAGGGCATAGCAAGGCAAAGCAAAGACTAATAATAGGATTCGAGTACATATATACATGGGGAAGAGATTGATTCATCGATCGTTATTTAAGCTAGAGAGATCAAGCGTACACGTTTATACAGACAAGATAGTGATTAAAATAGTACAAAGAAATATGCGTATTGTTACTGTTCGAATAACATTGTCTATTAAGTAAGTTAATAGAAGGGCTTAATAAAATTTAACCATAATCGGAATTGATTGTAGGAGAGTTGCGTTAACGTGACCAAAACAAATTAAAGCAAAAAAATCAACAAAATAGTATGGCCAATCATCTTACATAGTATTTATAAATTCTAAAGATGTTTAGCTACATTAATCTATACTCTCTTCTGTAATTAACTTAATTTCATATCATGAGTCAGTTGAAGGTAAACCACCATTGAAGACCTGGAAGCACTGAACGACCGTTTCGTCCTTTTGTGGGAATCCTCATCAGTGCGCATCCATGACCCATCTGATATTCATTTCATATGTTGACATCCATTAGAAATCTAATAGGCAGCAAGACGTATTAATAATGGTTTCATTTTTAATTTCAAATTGTTTAATCGTTTGCTTATTCAATGTGATAATTAATTAAGTAGTATATGAACTTCAGTCCTTAAGCTTAGTTCGATACCACTAAATCAATAGATTGAGAATTAGTTAGTTAATTACCTAGTAGTGACATTTGTTAAGGATAATGGTGTACTTCCGAAGTGCGCATCCACGATCCCACCTCGCGAGATTCGATTCTAGGATCTATCGGTCTCGCGGGTGAACGAAACGACCGTTCAGTGCTTCCATGTTTTTCATGATGGTCTAGCTTCAATTGACTCATGATCGTAACTATTGAAATGACTATAAAATTCACAAAAGCCCCTTCTGATACTCATTATGATATACTTTAATTTTAATTTTTGCTTAGTGATTCAATAATTTATAACACATACTCCTGTTACTCCTCGTGAGGGAGCATAGGCCGCTCACCAGCATTCTCCATCCAACCCTGTCCTGGGGAATCCTTTTCAGCTTTTCCCAGTTGTTATTCATCCTTTTCATATCTGGTTCTATTTCCCGACGTAATGTGTTCCTTGGCCATCATCTTTTTCACTTCCTTTCGGGATTCCAAGTTAAGGTTTGCCTCGTGATGAAGTTTGATGATTTGCGTAATATATGTTCTATCCATCTCCATAATCTTTTCCTAATTTCCTCTTCAGCTGGAAGCTGGTCTGTTCCAGCATAATGATAAGTAAATGTTATTGATTTGTGTAGTGATGAACATTTCAAATATACGTCAAAATAAGGTTTTTCTTCTTTACAATTATTTTATACAATAGAAAAACAAATTTTTTTAAATTAGCCATCTGAGATTAGAATTCAATTGCATAGATACAAATGATACAATAATCAATTTGCCAAGAACTAGTCTAGTATATAATACCCCCCCCCTTAAAAGTAATTAGTTCTATATATTTGACTAGGAAGTAATTAATTGTATACTTGATCCATCAAAACGTTGACAATAACATCACTATAGTAATTTAGATTGAACTAAATGTAGGACATATTTCTCAGTTGAATGTACCTGTTTTTGTTTCGTTTTAATTTTTATTTACTTTAATAGAAATAAAAAAACAGGGATAGTGAAATTAGTCATATTTTCAGTTACTAGCTGACAAGTGTCTCATGTATAAATAGTTGAATAATCTCAATAGTTAAATTATTTATCTACCGCTTATTAAAGCAGTAAACCGATAGAAATAATTTACGTAATAGATTGAAATGACGATTCATTAGGCTATTATCCTTGTTAATGTAATATTGAGGGATTATGGAGATTTTTGAATTTCATAGATGATTCTTATAGATTGATACTAAGTAGTGAACCACTGTAAATCAGATATCATTGAACTGTTGATTTGTTTTAGTATGGAACTCCTAACCCCTAAATGCCCTGGTAACATCGAAAGTGGGGGTGAGTCAGCTCTCCTTTTCCAAATGCTCTCACATGGCCACGCGCATACAACCACTAACAGGGTAGTCTTACTCATCACGTTCTCAAAGCGAGGGTGTTGTTTAAGAAATTGCGAGGACGAAAAGCGAATGTCGAATTGGAAAACCCTCTCTCCATACCAATGCTATACATGGGATTTCGGATCCTAAGGAAACAAATGGTGTATGAACCAATTATTAATCACCGGCTACCATAGGACAGTATCTCCTTACTTTGCTCCACTGTTTTGTGGATTAGACCCTTGGGTTAAATGTTCGGGATGTAGCCCCCTAAGAAAACCACTTGTCTCGGTTTAAGCACCCGGGCAATATCCTAGTCCTTATATAAATCGAAGGATTTGTGTTGCGCATACCTATTTGTTACCTCTTTGTACCAATATTTATGCGTTTAAATAAATGAATGGAACTCCTATGAATTGCTCATTCATTGACTTCACCATGGATGTGATGATACGTTTGTAATATGTGCAGTAATTCAAACTGCACGTATTCATTCCGTGAACCCAAAAATTAGGAGAGTAAAATAAAACTCCTTATTTAGAGGAAAGGGGTCAAAGTCAATAACTAGGAAGCTATCGTAGTGAAATACATTGGATTGCGTATTTTTCATTTATAGATGAATGACGTTGAATATTCACTGATTAGGTAAGAATGCTGATTTAAAACTAGATGATAAGTTTTGCTAAGTAGTCAGTAGATCACTGGATCATCTAAACTCTTTCTGAGCTTCTTAGAGCTTTGTCGAACTACTTTTATTAAGTACATTTCAGAACAGGTTTTTCTTTTAAAGAGATAAAACGTGAAATAAACTATAAATGTATCAAGATTCACGAAAAAATTCAATATTTTATAATTAAAAGAAACATTAAAAGAAACCATTAATCATAATTTTAATTAAAAAAGTAACTTTTTTGTAATAAAAGTTAAACAAATTTGTTTTTCCTTTATAACATAAACAAATAATCAGTTTAAGGGTTGTGAAGATTGTTGAGTTTCTGATTGAAATCATTAGTCAATTGAAGCTAGACCACCATAGAAAACCTGAAAGCACTGGACGGTCGTTTCGTCCTATTGTGGGACTCCTCAGCAGCGCTCATCCACGATCCCGCACGCGACGAGGCTCGAACCCAGGACCTATTAGTCTCGCTCCTGGCGCTTCAGCAACTAGACCATTGAGTCGGCATCCAACGGTGTTAATGTCTAACCTCAACCAGTCCACGAAATTGCGCGACCATCTTCCATCGTAATGAGTTAGACACCTGTTTCTACCCGACAAGGCCATCCAGTGCCTCCAGGTTTTCCATGGTGGTCTAGCTTCAATTGACTCATGGTTTCAATCATAAACAAGTAATTATTATACTCGAATATATGTTAAAATTATTGATGTGAATTCATATTTCTCTTTTTTTGTTGTTGTTGATGATTGGATTCCTTCGGTACACCAGTTAGAAACAAACAAAAAGAACAACATCAGTAACTATGCTCCATTTTAATAAGGTGTTTAAGATATATTTATAGTAATTTAGTAGTTGAATTTATGAGTCCATTAAACTTAAACCGCCAGTGAAAACTTGGAAGCACTAGATGGCCGTTTCGTCCTACTGTGGGATTCCTCAACAGTGCGTATTCATGATCCTGCCTTGCAAGATTCGGACCAAGAACCTTTTTAAAATAACCAAAAAAATTCTAAAAATTTTAATGCGTTTTTTAAAATAAGCACAGCGTTCTTTAAAATTTTTTCATAATCTTTACATGCAAAAGATGAATAGGAAAAATAATTTAAAGAACAATGCCTCATTAAAAAATGTTATTGAAGACGGGTATACTGTCAAAGATGCCGCATTTCTTGTGAACTTGAATTATCAGACCGCTACAAATGTTGACAAGTAAAAGACAGAAACGCCATCAATTAAGAAGATTACAAGGGAAATAATTGATTTTATAGAAGAATCAATAGGATTGAATCCATTCCTGACAAGCTTACAAATTCAAAGAAAAAAGTACGAAATGTATTATCTATAAATCTATCCATTGAATCTATAAGAAGGATCATTTATAAGCTACAGATTATATTTTAAAAAAGATTTGGTAAGTGAATTTAATCAACCAATAATAAGTCTCATACTCAAATCAGTAAATGAATTAACCATAAACGATTTACAAAGGGATTTGAGACATTATACGGTGAAATTGATTAAAGACAATTGGTAAAGAAAACTTTAATAATAATAGTAGCTGAATTCTTGAGTCACTTAAAGCTAGACCACCATTAAAAACCTGGAAGTACTAGACGACCGTTTCGTCCTGGTATGGGACTCCTCAGTAGTACGCATCCATGATCCCACCTCGCGAGATTCGAACTCACGACCTATTGATTCCGCGCGCGTAGCTTAGTATCTAGGCCACTGAGCTTGGCATCCAACGGTGTTAATTTCGAACTTCAATCAATCCACGAAATTGCGCCATCGTCTACTATTGTCTTCAGTGAGTTACTATCTCACAACAGACCTGGTTGAACACTACTGGTCACTACTTCTCACTAGAACTCCAGGAAACACCTTTTGAAGCCATTCACTAGTGAGCAGATGATGATTATTATCAGAAGGGGGTTTTGTGGAGATTTTTACCAATTTAATAGTTGAATTTATGAGTCCATTCAAGCTCAACCACCATGGAAAACTTGGAAGCACCGGAAATCCCCCTTCCGATCTGATAAATTTATAGGCTTTAAATAAAGATGGTTTGAAGTGATCCTAATTTGCATTGCTGAGAATTACTTACCTGATGTTTCAGTTAGCATAAGCTGATGAAGAGGTGACCTAAACTAGGAAAAAACAATTACTAGTATATTGTTATACATACCATGAACAGTCGGGAAAAATATATAAGATGATTAGTTATTTTTTTAAATGAAATATTTACAGTATGTTGAATGAACTGAACACATGTTTTTCTGTCGACATCAGTCAAGTCTTATCAATATCTTGTTTGTAAATACTATTTAGTGCTAAATATTTTGGCATTCAGTTGATTAAGGTTAATTAACGAAAAATGTATAATTTTTTTAATGTAATTTAACATGAAAGAATGTCTTTATAGATCTCAAAGTGAAATAGTACGTTGCTGGTCAGCGTTGTTTAGCGAGTTAGTTTTCTATGGGATAGGGTCGCTAACTCCATGCACAAACTTCCTCCTTTATCCGGGCTTAGGACCGGCAGTAGCCTCAGAAGAGCTCCAGGCGGAGTTGAAATAGTACGTTTAGTGAATTAATAAAATGTTAAGTAAGTGGAAAGGTAGAAAGTAGTGATCAGATCATCTTAGAATGTTCAATGGATAAGAGGAAAGAGTAATTAACGTATTAGTGTACATTTCATGTTATATATACGTATATTTATTTATGTAGAGTAAGATTCTTTTTTATTTAACTCCTAGTACCGCATAAAACCTAATCAGATAATTTAAGAAATATCTACTCTAATAAAAAAATTTACCTAAAAACACAATACAACACTTTTCCCCATTAATTGTAAAAGAGAAAATACTCTAGAGAATTCTTTATTTCAAAAATAACTGCTAGCATAAATTGAAATATGAGAAGCTGTAGACAATTACTTTACTCATGCTAGTTTAAAACGTAATAGATGTGATGACCTCAAGTGGAAAATAACTGACATCCTGCAAATTTTATGGTGAGTGAGATACTTTTAAGCCACAACCTTATACTGATAATTACCATTTGCTCATTAGTGACTGGCTTCGTGAGGGCATTTTCGGAATTCTAGAGAGAAGCCGTGATCAGTGGAACTAATTCTTGTCAAGTAGAGACAGGTATCTAACTCAGTACAATGGAAGATGGTCGTGAAATTTCATGACTTGGTTGATGTTAGACATGAACACGGTTGGATGCCGACTCAGTTATATAGAGGTTAAGCGTTCGCGCGCGAGACTGATAGGTCCTGGGTTCGAATCCCTCACGCAGAATCGTGGATGCCCACTTCTGAGGGGTGCCATACTACGAAGAGACAGCCGTCCAGTGCTTTCAGATTTTCAGTGGTGGTCTAACATCGTTCGATTCAGGGTCTCAATAATTAATCATCTGAAAAGGTCAGAAATAATACTATATAAAGGAATATAATAAAAAAAAACCGGTTACTTGATAGTTATTCAGTACAAATAAACAGACAAATTAATTCGAGAATAACTATTGAATGTTTCATGATGGACCTCCTCGATGTTTTCCACTTCTCTCTATTACTAATCCAACAATATTTTATTCTTAAGTTTTTCCTTTACTAAAAAAAATTACATTTTCCTTCGTACACGACATTATTGATAATACTCATCATTATTATCATTGCCAACATCATTACGATTAAAAAAATAACAAACAAACGTGCACCAGTTTCATAATAACTGATTGCATATGTGGGGGAAAAATGTATAATTTATCCACTGAATTACGTTATACAATATGGAGAGATGAAAAATAGATAAATGTCAAAATATCTAAATCGATAATATTTTATATTTACATTAAATTATCTAAACATTCTATCTGTATGGTAGGTTTAATTCTGAAATATAAAAGACTTATTAATCAGATCATGACAATCTCAATATATATATATATATATATATATATATATATATATATATATATATATATATATATATATATATATATATATATATATATATATATATATAATGATTGAATTACTGAGTCCATTCAAGCTAGACCACCATGGAAAACTTGGAAGCACTAGACGGCCATTTCGTCCTATTATGGTACTCTTCAGCAGTGCACATCCAAGATCCCGCCCCTTGAATGATACGGCAACTTAGTGCTTCCAGGTTTCCCGAGGTGGTCTAGCTTGAATCGTCTCATGAATTCAATCATTAAACTACTACAATTTCCACAAACCTTATATATATATATATATATATATATATATATATATATATACATGATGACAATATTTGTCAAAAATCATTTATATACACTGTGATCATCTGTTTGAAACAGACTATACAAAACTAATACAAGATCATACCATATTGATAAACATTTTATCTTGATTGTTTTACTTCTTTTTCATTTTGCTGCTTCATTTTTATTTGTCATCATCGTTTCTTAAAAGAAAAAAAGTAGAACAAAATGTATTTTCTTCGGTTTTGTTAAGATATGTAAATATTCGATATATAATTGATTGTAGTAAAAATGAAGCATTTTATCTAGGGATAAACTTTCAGTGATGGATAGTGGCTAATAGTGGAATCGATGACGTTCGTTTCGTTCTATTTAGGACTCGTTATCTGGATGTACCTGCATCTGAGTTGATGTTCACTCTGGGACTCGAACCCAGCACCATATGCACACAGTATGCACATATGCCAACATGAGACTGATCAATCGCAGTCCTAAACATCAATGGGATAATTCAAACAAACAATATCAAGTGAATATAAACTTTCAGTGTTTAATCATGAAGTATTTTGAACGACTCTGATTATGACGTATGAACTGATCTTGAAATATGAAACTAGGAGCATTGGATTTCAAGAAACTAAAACACACAAAAAGTTGAAGACAGTTCATTTCTGTTCAACTTATCTTAGTCAGTTCTAGTGTATTTTTTCACATGAAGGATAGGTGCTATGACTACTCACATGAACATAAAATAATTAATGAGCAACTAAGCCTAAATGTTCTGAATTTTGTCAAAGCGATTGTTATTTGTCGTTAGAAACCTGATTTCCATGTTTTAAAGGAAACAGTTGTTTATTTGTTCTTTGCATTGGTAAAACAAACTGCATGTCGTTATATCATTTAATTTTTTGTAACTCTTTCACTCTTTTGATTGATTGTTATATCACATCTCTGACTCAGTTCTAATTCAATAGTTTTAGTCCTTTAAACAACCGGGTTTCAAATTCAGTTTGTTGGCGAGAATGTAATTTTTGGAATCAGAAGTGTTTGAGCAATCTCAAGGTCACGGTGCCAACTTCAGTATCTGATGCTAACGTACGATCGGCTCACAGCGGATTTTATACAAAACGTGATTATTGAGCGGCTATAACAAATAAAACGGAGAAGCAATCAGGTATTAGATAACAGGTCTCGGATTTTGATGCGAAAGTCATTCATCCATTTGGCTAAATAAGGTTTCGGCATTATAGCTTATGTCAGTTCGTAATGAAAACCCTATATATAATTCCTAACTAAGTCAAATTATGACAATTATCGCGAACTGGGTAATAAAGGCACCAGTAACACTGGCTGAAACCGCGTACTACCACCACTACTAGGTACTATATACGAATGATTGGAGAGCGTACAGACTTGGTTATGTGCATCGTGTCGTTGTCCACAAGTGGCATTTTGTGTACTCAACAACTGGAGTGCACACAGACAATATTGAAGCTACGTGAACGAAGCTGAAAAAGTTTTTGAAACATTATCATGGCTTCAGACGCCAATTATTATGGAGCCATACGGATGATTTTCTCTACTGCATGCATTACGATTTTAGGACCTCTGAATCTCTTTCTAACCTTGAAAAGTTTATGAACCACGTATAAGAAGTGTATCCACTTTATTTTTTTTGGTTTTACATAATATAATTTTACTCAGTACTGACTGTCTGCTGATTAGCTAATATTTCTTAAGGTCATTTAAGATTGGTTCAAAAGCCGTCCATAAATTATAACCTCGTCAAATAATTTATTGTGGTGTATGCTACTTATGTCGACATAAGTAGTATATAACGTTAGTCAGGAATAGAATATCTGGCAGCAGAATGTTGAGAATATCAAGAAGGGTAGAATGGCAAGAGAAAGCATTTGATATAGAAATGTAGGAACAATGAAGTCTGAGACAAATAATGGAGATTACTAGTTTCATATCTGTAATATTGTTATTATTCTTAAATTTAACTAAGATTTTTAAAGTTTTACCTGTCAAATGTTTTGATAATACAATTAATATTATGTGAAAAGGAATAACTGTATCTTACATGCAAAATGTTGCTTCAGGATTGGGTTGCATCGACACCCAAACTAATGATAGGGAATGAAGTAGTTGAGTATGTCGAATTAGTCATATACTTGTTGAGGCTAATGTCCTCAATATCTGACTCCAATAAATAATATCCCGTAAACTGAGTATTTAACGTAGGCTTAATCTCCTAGTAGAATTATGGATTAACTCGAGATTATTGAGAAGCCTGAACACCAGTTGTAGAGATAATTTATTGTTAATGATTAATAAAAATCCGCAAGCGTACAGCGAGCAAGCACACGATGAAACAAAGTAAGAGTGAGTGTGTGTTAAAAAATCCATATATATTTTTGAGTGTTGAGTGTGGATAAATTATTGATTATCAGTACATTGCAACTAATAGGAGAATAGCTTAAGGTTTAATGTACAGACATGCATTCGATCATACACACCGAAATTAACATAATGAATTAAGAATCTGAAATGCACACAGAAATTAACATGATGAATTAAGTGTCTGAATTACAATAAGTAGACAAGTGATAGTGGCCAAATGGGCTTGCCACATACTTCAAAAACACCACATAATCGTTATTTCAGTGTGCATTTTAGATTGATAGATTGCACATTTTGACCGTGGGATGTAAATCAAACAGTTTACTTGTAATTTCGTGGCTCTCGTGTATGTGACTCCATTTATATCGTACGAATGATTGCTATCGAAATATACATCCCAGCTACCCTCACACATAATCATCGATTCAAATCGTGTTAGTGAATTATATAATTAAATAAGTCAAATACGAGAATGGATTTCAAATACTTATATGTCATACAATCGTCGATCCAGACAGACGATCAGAGGAACGAAGTGGAGTAGGCGAAGAAGAGAGAGAGGAACAAGAACAAATCGGAGAAGTCATGTGAGCCAATTTGAATTAAGCAAACGTGACTGAGTATTTCTATCTAGATAGGGAAGTCCTACTCACCTCCTTGTCGTAGCCAGGGTGTTTTTTAAGGAATTGAAACCACGAAAAGCGAATGTCTAGTACTTTTACCGGGTTGGTGGATACGGAGGACCCAGTTTGGGTACCTGGACAATATCTCAGCACTCACACAAATCGAATGATGTATATGAAGTCTATCTAGCTGTACCATTT